CACCGGAGGCCCAAGCACGCTGACTGGGGGAGGAGGTGTCTCCTGCCCCTGCTGCAGGCTTGGGATGGAGGCCCTGGCCCACCGGCCATTCCCGAGGACTGGGGCGAGGCCCCGGGGGCGGGGACCCTCCTGTTGGCACTCCGTTGGAAGCTCTGGCAGCGGGGCCTGTGACCCAGACGGAATATTTTTTTGGCTCAGGAGGCTCCAGGGCCACAGGCATGGAGAGAGGAACCGCACGGCTGGGTTCTGGTCCCAAATCTGCTGCCGCCTCACTGTGTGATCTTCCGGCAAGTCGCTCGCCCTCTCTGGGCCATGGTTTCCTCAGCTGCATCACTTGGAGACCTCAGGTCCTATCCAGTTCTGGTCTTCTCTCTTTCTGGAGACAGAAGAAAAGTCTCATGCTTTAAACTTCTGGGGAAGAGGGGGATGGTTCCAATATTCTCAGATTAAAGGAAGAATTCTAACTTTCTAGGGATCTAAAATAAAAAGAAGGATTCAAATGTTCTGGATTATAGGAAGGGATGATGAGGAAACTAATATTCGAAAAGGAAGCTCCTTGGGTCCCCGGCAGTAGCAGTGTTGGGATTATTACTATCACTAGAGCGATTCAGAAGGCATATTTGACCCCAGGGCAAGCCCGAAGGAGGGGCGTGGGGCGGGGAGGGAGACCAGGAGAGTCAGCAGAGGTCCCTGGAGGTCACGGCGGTCACAGGCGGGCCTAAGCGCGGGCCTTGATCTGAGGCCATGGAAACAGCGATAGCCCTGTCTGCCCTGGTTTCTCCGCCAGGACCCACCCTGTGGCCGTGAGGCTGCTGTCTGGGGGACAGTGTCTGCTAGGGACAGAGAGTGAGAATGTGAGCCTGGGTGTGGGAGCCCGCGAGGTCAGCTGGGCTCCTGCCTCTCCCTGGCACCCTGCTGGGCAGGCGCTGGCTGCCTCTCCTGGCAGGGTCCACACCCTGGGAGAAGCTTCCTTGGGCACACTCTAGCACTCATCCCTGCTGAGCCAAGGCTTCTGGGAAGAAGGCGAGACAGGATCTACCCTGGGCAAGACCTGGAGGTGGGGGCAGATGGGAGAAGATCCCAGGCTGTCCACTCTACCCAGGCCCCATGCCCCAGACGAACAGCAAAAACACTTCTGGAACCCCTGCTTCATCCGTGCAAGTGTTGGGGTGAGGCTCCTGCATTAAATGAAATAAACGGAGGACAGTGCCTTGAGCACCTAATGTTGAGGAAGGTCTGCAGCTCTGAGAGAGGAGCGGCTCAAAGGCCAAGGGCCTCTGGGGGAGGCAGGGGCTTCCCGGGGGAGGGGCCTTAGAACTGAGATCCCAGTACCTCCCGCAGAGGCAGTTCCGGGGCTCAGGTCCCTTCCTGTGGCCCTGGAGTCAGTCCAGAGGCCCCACAGTGACCTTTCCTCTACCTCAGAGGTTTTAAAAATGAAAAGTTCCCCAATGATTAGTCAATGAAGTCTTAGCTCTGGGACTTGGTACAGGAAGGAGGCTGAAGATACAACTCAAGGTCCAGAGGTACGGGGAAGACAGTGTCAGGAGAGGAACCTGACCTTATTCAAGTTTGGAGACCCCAGGAAGTGGAAAGCGATGCTGGGAATTGGTGAGCCCTCAGGTTGTCTCTGGATCACATGATCTCAGATGTGTGTGTGTGTGTGCTACTATGCGTACAAGGAATCCATATCAATCCTATCTATCGTCGATGTAGAGTTTCTTTATACCTAATCTACTTTGCTTCATGAAGTGTTTGATGCAGTGCTAAGAAACATTTCTAACTCAAAAGAATAATATGAAAAATCTGTATGTTTCTACAGTACACACGAACTTTTGAAATATTTAAATCAGGCCTTCTGACACTTTGGGAAATGCAGGGATTGTGAGCAAGTCACTGCACCATTCCAAGCCTCAGGGTCCACATCTGGAACATGGGGAGAATAGTTCCTGCCTCATGGTTGTGATATGGGGATTAAAAGAGGTAGAATTTGCAAAGAACCCCACCTGGCACCAGGCACATAGACGATGCCCCAGCTAAGGACAAGAGTCCATGGAGAAGCTTTTTGCAGTTCCTGCTTGAGTTGTGCTGGAAATGAGCCATCCAGATAGGCTTCCTGGGGGAGGTGTGACTTCCCATGGTGTTCTAAGATAGAGTCCAGGTGGGAGCCTGTGGTAGCAGGATCGAGAGGAGGTATTGGGGCACTAGATTCCTGGAGGTGGGGCCTCTGGGGAACTCAAGGAGTTGCTGACAGAGCCCTGAGGATGAGACGGAGGGAGGCGATGTGGGTATAGAAGGATGGACTTCCTGGGATTGTCCAAAACCAGGGAGCCGGATGGTGGGGGGAGGAGAAGCTGAAGGGAACCTGTGGTCTTAGAGCAAGACACATGGGTGACCCACTTTCCCAGATGGGAAAACTGAGGCCCACAGAGGGCCCTTGGCAGCCCTTTGCCTCGGTCACACATAATAAAGGAGGGCACAGAGATGGCCACTGCCCTGAACGGTTTTAGCCCGTGGCGTGCTGGGCTTTCCTACGAGCGCAAGCGAGAGTCAAAGTCTCCCAGTCGTGCCCGACTCTTGGCAACCCCATGGTCTATAGAGTCCATGGGATTCTCCAGGCCCGAACACTGGGCTGGGTAGCCTTGGCCTTCTCCAGGGGATCTTCCCAACCCAGGGATCCAACCCAAGTCTTGTGCATTGCAGGCAGACTCTTTACCAGCTGAGCCACCACGGAAGCCCACAAGAACAAATTGAAATGAAAAAAACCGATCATCACTCAGTCATAAAAAGGAACGAATTTGGGTCAGTTCTAGTGAGCTGGATGAACCTGGAACTTGTTATACAGATTGATGTAAGTCAGAAAGAAAAAAACGAATATCACATGTTAACACATATATATGGCATCTAGAAAAATGGTACTGATGAACCTCTTTAAAGGGCAGCGATAGAGATGCAGACGTAGAGAACAGGCTTGTGGCCACAGCAGGGGAAGGAGAAGGGGGGACCAATTGAGACAGTAGCATTGAAATCTATACATGAGCATGTGTAAAATAGATAGCCCGTGGGAACTCGCTCTGTGACAGGGAGCTCAGGCGGTGCTCTGAGACAACCTAGAGGGGTGGGAGATGGGAGGCACGTTCAAGAGAGAGCGGATCAACATACACCTGTGACTGATCCATGCTGATGTATGGCAGAAGCCAGCTCAACATTGTAGAGCAGTTGTCCTCCAATTAAAAATTAAAAAAATTAAAAGATAATATAGCAATAAAAAAATCAATCAAATAAAGCTAAAAAGCCACCAGGGAAGCCCCTGGCGAAGAATTTGCCTGCCGTGCAGAAGACCCGGGTTTGATCCCTGGGTCAGGAAGATCCTCTGGAGAAAGGAAATGGCAACCCATTCAGTATTCTTGCCCGGAGAATCCCATGGACAGAGGAGCCTGGCGGACTACAGACCATGGGGTCGCAAAGAGTCGAACACTACTGAAATGACTAACACTTAAAGATAAAGAAAACCCCAATAATTTTAAAAAGAAGGAACTGCAGCTCAGAGAGCTGAAACGGCCAGCTGAGGAGGCAGGGCCAGGACTGGGATGGAGCGATGCTGGAGGTGGTACCCTGGTTTGCATCTCAGGGCAACCCGTGCTCCTTCTCCCAGGCAGAGTAGGGGGCCGGGGGGCTCCTTCTCAGGGCCCTCCACCCAGCGGCCGCCTCCCCGGCCCTCCTGGAGTTTATTGGGTCCTTAATGGGCTTGCAGAGACCTGGCACCTGCTGCCTTTTCTGTTCTAATAAAAGGCGGGTCCTCTAGGGGGTGGACGGGGTGAGGGGGGGCTGGCGTGTGGGGGGCTCTGGCTCATGGCCACTCTGGGCGACGCATTCCTGGCTCCTGACTCACAGGGAGACGTCCTCGTGTCTCCTCAGCACTTTTGGACCCTGCAGCTGTGGGCGCATTCCTCCTGGACGCCCCCTTCCTCGTCCCCACCCCCATCCCCCAGCAGCCCGAGCTGCAGCTGATGGCACGGACCCATCCTGGGCTGTGGAGACTGAGGCCGCCGAGGGCCCAGGGCTGGTCTCCCAGCTGCGGCCGGGGCAAGAGCAGAGGGCGACCATCTCACCAGGGGACACTTTGGACCAGACACTGGAGACGTCTGGGGCCCAGCCCTTGTGCTCAGGAGCCCCAGGTTTAGTACAGGAGACAGACAAGGACCCAGTGCGATCTTGGTCCCCGGAGCAGGTGGGCTGAGTCTGGAGCTTGGAGGTCGGACCCGTGATGCGGAGCAGGGCGCTGGGCCTGCCGGCTTGGGGCGGCCAGGGAAACTGGGGCAGGCCGGGTCCCCGCTTTGGGCCTTGGGTTCATCCTCCGGTCAGTGCTGAGCTGAACTCTCTTCACTCCCGGGACCTGTCGAGTTCTCATAAGCCAGGATTCTAGACGCAATTCCTGCGCCGCGTGGTGGTGGGACCTGGGGCACCCAGGCAGGGGTAGGCAAACTGTGGCCATGCTGGCCTGTCGCCTGTGTTCATTAGAACGTGTCACTGGCACACACTCATGTCTGTCTGTTTACAGCCTGTCCGTGGCCACATCAACAGACGAGGAGCTGCGACGCTGTCTAGACGTCAACCCCTAAAATATTTTCTATCTGGTCCTTTACAGGAAGAGTTTGTGCTAAGGGATGGATTTCAGGCCTAAGTCATTGGCTGGGGCTGGGGAGTGGTTGGCGGGGGTGAGGATGGTGGGGGTGTGGGAGGATGGGAGGTGGGAACTGATGGAAGGACCCCCTCATTTGGGGGAGTGGGTGGGGTGGGAAAGGCCTATCTTAAAGGAGGTTCTTTTCAGAGCTCAGGTCCGGCTCTCGAACCCAGATTTCGCCTGCAGCCTCTGTCCCCCGCCCCGTGTGGACACGGAAGTGGCAGGACCTGCCTCGCAGGGTGGTGCAGGGGCCCAGCGTCCCGCGGAGTGAGAGGGGAGAGTCTCGTGCCCAGGCCGGGCAGCCTGAGCCGGGTTATTTATGGGTTTCCGCCGGGAGGGGGGCCGCGGGCCGCGGGCCGTGTCTGACCTGAATTCTTACACTTACAGGAAATTAGAGCCCTTGGAAGCAGGTGCGCTGGTGATCCCAACACTCGGGTGGCCGAGAGGGTGATGTGGCTGAGGCAGCAGGAGGGGGCGGGGGCTCGAGGGGGCCGAGGGCTGGAGGGGGGGGCCGGTCCAGAGCGGACAGGGCTCCCGGACCGCCTTCCTGCAGCCGTGGAGGGAAGATAGAATGTCACAGGCCCTGGGTTTTCCCCCTGCCGTGCTGGAGTCTGCCCAGTTAACCCTCACCACACGTCTATGAGGTAGGATGGTCACCCCCATTTTACAGATGGGGAAACTGAGGCCCCAGGGTGTTTCCTCTCTGGCCCGTGAGCACGGAACAGGTTTTTGTTAGAGACAGGATTTGAACCCAGAAAGGACTGTATATCATTGCAATTCTCATGTCCTCTTGTCAGAGCCAGCCACCCTGGGCCAATGAGAAGATCTTCAAGGCAAGCCCAGCAGGCGGTTTCTTGCAGTCCTGGGGTGTAGAGCATCCCGGAGCTCGCTCTGGGAGTGAAGGAGGGAGGGCTTTGCCCTGAGGCAGGCGGTAGGTGAGCACAGGTGGGCAGGAGGAGAGGTCATCTGTCCCTGGAGTGTGCGAAGCTGCCTTTGACTCACAGGACTAAGTAGGCGGCGTGGCTGTGTGTGCAACAGCGTGAATGTGAGAGAAAGTGGGGGTGATTGGTGGAAACTCTGGCTGTTTGTTGGGGCAGGTTCAGGCATGGAGAAGTTAAAAATGAATTCAATTTGGGGGACCTCCTTTTTGACACAAAATGCAATAGGAGTAATACTAAAGAGTCTTCAAAATGAGAAAGAAACCACAACAAAGGACATAAACTTTAAAACTGACAAACACCGCCAGTGGGACCAGATCCAGAAAAATGTTACAATATTTGTATTATTAACTTCCTGGCTCACTTCTGTAGTGCGGATTTTCCTACTGGTAGTTCTTGGCTTCGGCATCATGTGAGTGAACATGTTGCTAGACCCTTTCAGAGCCTGGGAAGAAGGCTGCAGTGTAAGCCTTGGGCTGTGTGAGTTTGTGTGGGTGATCGGGGTGTGTGTGTGTGTATTTGTGTAAGGATGTGACCAACAGAGTGAGAGATGGAGAGTGAGGCTTTCATAGCAGACTGGCTCCGTGAATGTTTAATAAAAGAGTGTCACACATGTGTGTAAAATTGTGTGCAGGACACATGCATGTGTTTAAGCGTGTGTGTACACACATGTGATTGCATGGGTTTGCAGTTGTGTCTGAGAGGACAGAATGGTGTGTGAATCTGTGTGATTTTCCTTGGGTGTCTTTTCTCTGGCACTCTGGTTTCGGGGATCCTAAATGGCACCCCACTCCAGTACTCTTGCCTGGAAAATCCCATGGACGGAGGAGCCTAGTAGGCTGCAGTCCATGGGGTTGCTAAGAGTCGGACATGACTGAGCAACTTCATTTTCACTTTTCACTTTCTTGCATTGGAGAAGGAAATGGCAACCCACTCCAGTGTTCTTGCCTGGAGAATCCCAGGGACGGGGTAGCCTGGTGGGCTGCCGTCTATGGGGTCGCGCAGAGTCGGCCACGACTGAAGTGACTTAGCAGCAGCAGCAGCAGCAGCATCCCTGTCTGAACCTCCACACCCCTCCCATCCCCTACCCAGAGGCAGATGGGCACAGACACGCTGTGGCTTTCAGTCCAGGCCTGGAGGGGACAGACTGGGTGAGCGGAATTCACGACTCCTTCTCCGCCCCACCTCCCTTCCTCCCACCGATGAAATGTTGGTGATTCAATCCAGGGAGAAGTTCAGTGTCCCGGGGAGAGGCTGGCACAGGCCTTCCAGACTGTGTGCATGTGTGTGAAAGAGAGTTCAACAGTGTCCAAGCCCCCCAAAGAGCTTGCCATTCATACCCTTTCTTGTATAAATGGAGAAACTGAGGCTTGGAGGTAGAGAAGGGATGTGTCTGATTAAATTACGAGATCAGGTTGGGGCCAGAACTCAGATTTCCCAGGCTTGTTGTTGATGTTAAGTCACTAAGTTGTGTCCAACTCTTTGTGACCCCATGGACTATAGCATGCTGGGCTTCCCTGTCCTTCACTATCTACTTGCTATTTGTCCTTCACTATTCACTATTTGCTCAAATTTATGTCCATTGAGTCGGTGATGCCATCCAACCATCTCATCCTCTGTCATCCCCCTCTCCTCCTGCCCTCAATCTTTCCTAGCATCAGGGTCTTTTCCCATGAGTCAGTTCTTTGCATCTGGTGGCCAAAGTGTTGGAGCTTCAGCTTCAGCATCAGTTCTTCCAATGAATATTCAGAACTGATTTCCTTTAGGATTGACTGGTTTGATCTCCTTGCTGTCCCAGGGACTCTAAAGAGTCTTCTCCAGCACCACAGTTTGAAAGCATCAATTCTTTGGTGCTCAGCCTTCTTTATGGTCCAACACTCACATCCATACATGACTACTGGAAAAACCATAGCTTTGACTAGACGGACCTTTGTTGGCAAAGTAATGTCTCTGCTTTTCTGATTCTGATTCAGCTAACAATTGTTAAGTGCTTGCTGTTGGTCAGGTATTGGGTCAGGTGAAGGGGTGGAGGGTGGTTGGATGGATAGAACCATCTCTGGACTGGAGATGCTTCTAGAAACGCAGTAGAATATGCAAGGGCATCCTGGGAAGGGGCAGGTATTTGCATATATGGTGAGTGGGGGGAACAGCAATGGGACGCAGATGGAGCCTCATCGTGGGGGCCCAAGGTGCCAGGCTGGGGAGGGTGTTGTGTTCCTGGGGGAGCAGGAGTTAGAGGGCCTGGGCCTGATTGGGTGGGGCAGGTGCGGATTTGTGTTTCAGAGGGAGAACCTGGCTTCTGGGGGATGGTGGTGGTGGTGACCACCATGAAAGCACATGCCCCAGTTGGGCAGGAGGAGTGGGTCTGATGAGGTGGGGAGACAGGGTTGCCAGGCAGAGGTGACCCCAACTCTGGCCTTTCTTACCACTCCCTGCTGTTCCCCATCAGCTTTCCACTAACAAGCAGGTCTTAACCTGACCATATCCAAGAAAGGCCCTCCACTTGAGCTTGGAGGAAGACAGGTGATGCTTGGCTAGGGTGACCTCGGGTAGCTCCCTTCCTGGTATAGTCGGGGAGATGAGTGCCTCAGAGCAGACCTGAAAGGGGGGCAGATCTGGGCTGAGCTCAAGCAGAAAGATTCTGGAGAGCCAGGCTAATGCCTAAGTTCAAATATTGATCCATGTGGTTATGATGCTTAACCTTTCTGGGCCCCAGATTCCTCCTGAATGGGGATGAGCTTAGACAGGAGTTATGAAGACAAAGTGAACTCAAGCTTAGGTGCCCGGTGTAGTGAGACTCCATGCGTCACGGGTGTCCTCCTAATTATAGAAATCACATCCAACGGACTTCCCTGGTGGTGCAGTGGCTGAGATTCCGCACTTCCAAAGCAGGCTCGATCCCTGGTCCGGGAATTGGATCCCACCTGTCCCAGCTAAGAGGTCGCACGCCGTAACTAGAGCTCCTACGTGCCGCAACTAAGACCCAGCACAGCCAAATACATAAATAAATATAAAAAGAAAAAAAAAGGGAAGGAGAAGTCACATCCAGGTTGGAGCAATTTCTTCTCACCTGCGCAACCTAGGAGGGCTGCACGCAGAAGGCCAGCCGTGGGGTGAGACTGGGGCTTGGCTCCCTGTTTTGTCCCTTGGCCTGTGTGTCCTGGGTGAGTCACAGGCTCTTTCTGAGTCCTGGTTTCTTTCCTGTGAGGAAAGTGAGCAACAGTCAACCAGTCCTGAGACTTTCCTATCCCTCCAGCCTGAGTCCAGTGCATCAGGCCTTCTTGCATCCTCACAGCTGCCCCGAGAGAGTCGGGGGTGATTTCACATAAAGACATGGAGGCTTGGGAGGCCTACCCGCGAGTTCTTGCCTGAACCCACACAGCACAGAAGGGCAGATCCAGGGCTGACTTCAGATGATCTTCACCATTAAGCTTGGTCCCAGCACACAGTTGTTCAGTTGCTCAGTCGCGTCTGACTCTTTACATGGACTGCGGCACGCCAGGCTTTCCTGTCCTTCACCGTCTCCCTGAGCTTGCTCAAACTCGTGTCCGTTGGGTTGGCAATGCTGTCCAACCATGTCATCCCAGCACATATTTGGTTTGAGTAAATCGCTGTCCTTGTCCAGGAGCAGTGATGATATCGGATGGGTCTTCCCAGAGGAACAGGCTTCCCCAGGGAGCAGAGGGGAGATGGGAAACCTGGACAGGGGAGGGCTGAGCAAAAACAGGGAGAGGCAAGGGTCTTATTCTCTCCTGCACTTAAAAAAAAATTAATTAATTTATTTTAATTGGAGGCTCATTACTTTACAATATTGTGGTGGGTTTTGCCATACACTGACATGAATCAGCCACGGGTGTACATGTGTCCCCCATCCTGAGCCCCCCTCCCACCTCCCTCCCCATCCCATCCCTCAGGGTCGTCCCAGTGCACCAGCCCTGAGCGCCCTGTCTCATGACTCACACCTGGACTGGCGATCTGTTTCACATGTGATAATATACATGTTTCAATGCTATTCTCTCAAATCATCCCACCCTCGCCTTCTCCCACAGAGTCCAAAAGTCTGTTCTTTATATCTGTGACTCTTTTGCTGTCTTGCATACAGGGTCATTGTTACCATCTTTCTAAATTCCATATATATGCATTAATATACTGTATTGGTGTTTTTCCTTCTGACTTACTTCACTCTGCATAATAGGGTTCCAGGACTTCTTACCTGCCGCAAGGGAGGGACTTGGAGTCCTTCCCTATCCCCCGCTACATGTGGCCAGGGGTCTTGGGGAGACCCCTGAACTTTGAGCCAAGGTTAAGGAAGAATTTCACAGCCATCGTAGGCCGTGGTTGAGCTCTACCCTGCAGAAGGAGAAACCCTGGGTCTGAGAGCCTCCCCCGCCCCACCGACTCTGTCCTCCGTCCTCCTCCTTTCCTGGTTGGGTACCCCAATGGCAGGGGATGGGCAAAAGCTGGCTCCACTCTGCCGAGTGCTCTGGGCTGGCTGCCACCCTCTGCAGCTCTGTCTGAAGCCCGCTCCCTCCTGTCTCTTTGCCCTTTGGGAGGGAGTGGTAACGGCTCCCCACTGTTGCCAGTCCTCGGGTGTCGCAGCATCCCTTGGTCAGCTTCCCTGAACTCCACTCTCTCCTCCCAAAGTCCCTTTTCTGGGAGTCTCCTTCCTGCTGGGGTCCTGCTGTGTATCTCCCCAGCTGTCCTGCCCTTCTCTCTCTCTTCTAACTTGGGTTCTTGCCCTCCGCTTAGCTGGGCTGAGGAATGTCACTTTCAAGTCCATAGTGGGGGCCTGGAGCTCACAGGAGCGGAGCCTCAGAGTCATCTCAATAAACACCAAACTCAACAGCCTCAACGGTACACAAGTAAGATCTGACTGGGGGCCAGCTTCTTGCCCCGGGAGCTTTGGGAGACCCTTGCTCCTGTACCCCCAAGTCAGGTCTAGTCACATGGTCAGCTTGGCCCAGTTCTGGTGTTCACGAGTCCCTGGCATCTTTGGACCCCATCCTGTGCTTTGGCTCCACTGAGAGAATGATTACCAGCTTCCCTTTGCCCACCCACTCCAGCGGGACTGGAAGCACGGGAGATTGTGTAGCTTCTTCCAGGGCCACTTCCAAGGTATTCCTTCCTATCATTGGGAGGTTCTCACATCCTGCCGTATCCTCTCCCACTTTGCGTCCATTTCTCCTCATTTGGTCCTTTAGTAACTTTCTTCTTAGTGAATCCCAGCCACCTCCAACCACTTGCAAAGGGCAAGAACACACTGGCTGCTATGAAAAGATTGCAGAGATTCAGGGCAGAGGCAGGGGGACCAGCCAGGATAGTCCAGGCAGGTGAGGATGGCAGGATAGTCCAGGATAGCCAGACAGGATAGTACAGGCAGGCCTGGACCAGGGTGGCAGCAATGCCGGTGGTGAGAACCAGGAGTTTCAGCCACCAGACCCCAAACGGCAGGCATTGTCCAATGCGTTGGCCAAACTTGTTGTTGGTCAGTCCCTCTGTCATGTCTGACCCTTAGTCACCCCGTGGACTGTGGCACCCCAGACTTCCCTGTCCCCCACTCTCTCCCGGAGTTTGCTCAGATTCATGTCCAGTGAGTCAGTGATCTTGAATTTAAGTTCTGAAAATATGCATCTGGCCCTTGAGAGGATGCCCTGCCCCCATTATTCCCTTGGGGTGGGTGGTCCAGTGAAAGCTAGTAGAGGGCTGTGTCGTTTGGGGTGTATTCACTGATTTCTAAAAACCCTGTGCAGGTCTGTGCTCAATGGCCCCGTCCTGGTGCTTCTAGCTCCTTAGAGTGTTGCAGGTCACTATGTGAGACCTTTCTCCCCCTACAGCATTCTGCCCCCACCTAAAAAGAAAAACACTTGATCCTTGTTTGCCTTCTTCCCTGCAGGATCTTGAGAGCTGGGACAGGTGCCTGGCACAGAGTCAGTAATAAATGAACACCTGCCCTATCTCAGGCACACATTATCTCATTGAAAAGTCCATCCACCCCAAGAGCTTGCAGTGTTCTTAGCACCACGTTTCCTGAGAGGACACAGAGGCGTGAGGACCCGTGCTCAGAGTCACCGTGTTGGGAGGTGGCAGAGCTGGGATCTGAAGCCAGGCTTGCTTGACTCCCCGCCCCGCCCCTGCCCTCTCTCTCCCCCCACCTCTTCCTCCTTCCCCTTCCCAACTGACCCCCCTCCCTCCAGGCTGGGCTGAGCCAGATTCAGACTGGGGTTCCAAAGACCTTCCTCCTTCTCAGTCCAGAGATAAATATTTGTTTCTCCCAGTGTAAATACCCCTCCGTGTTTAATGAGGCAATCCCAGGCCCATTTCCTGACACAGCTCAGTGCCTGGAAGTCTCTTTCACTCCGGGAGGAACAGGTTTAGGGCAAGAGCCACTAACAGGGGACTGGGGATCTCTCAGGAGTTCTTCCCATTGACCAATGAGGAAGCGGCTGCTCAGAGAAAGGATCTGGCCTGTTCAGGGTCACACAGCCAGGATTCCAACCTGCCCAGCTCAGCTCAGCTCTGCTGTAGCTTGGCATCACTCCTGGGCACTTCCCCGCCACTCCAGCCGTTGCATCCTGACCTATGACCTGCAGGCCGGTGCTCGCGGGGGTGGCCCTGTCCCTCCTTCGGCACCTCCAGTCAACATGGCACTCATGGCCCCCTGGGCACGGACCCCCTTCTGCCATCCCCACTTAAAGTGATACTTTAATAAATTATGCTTTTATGTTATTACACGTGGAGCTATAAAAGCAGAGAGTGTGCAGTGGGGCTGAGGTAAGGCGTCCGAGACTTTGCAATTTCCTGGACTGGTCTGGTGGTGCTCCGCGCCGTGAAGTTTTCATTAATGTGCGCAGGTGACGCCATGGGGGCAGAGACAGGCCAGGTATGCTCCCGTGGCAGCACGGCCCCCACCTGGCCCTTGCTGGGCCAGACTGGCAACGCCAGAGGGCTCACCCTGATGACGATTAGATGTAACCTTACCCCGGGGGCTCAAGATCAGCTCTGGATCCCCAAAGTGAGTGATGAGGGGCACGCTGAGTCTGTGAGGAAGGTAAACCTGGAGCCAGGCACGTGGCTCGTGCCAGACCCCCGGCCCGGCGTTGGACACACGTTACCTCATTTCACCCTCCACGAGCCGTGAGCTCAGCGTTACGGGCCTTCCTGGACAGGCGAGGAAAGTGGGGCTCTGCTATGAGGGGGACAGTGCCAGGCTTGCCCCAGGCAGCCTGACCCTAGAGCCCGTGTTCAGTGCTGTGCGTTCCTCATTTCTTGGGTTGGCCAAGAAGTTCGTTTGAGTCTGCTGTACTGTATTATGGAAAACCCAAACAAACTTTTTGGCCAACCCAATATTTCTCTCCCTTTCTCCTCCTCTCCTGTCCCACAGAGAAAAAAAGAACCTTAGAACCTTAGAATCTGATGCCACACCTGGGCCCATGTTGTTTCTGGCCTGGCCTGCCCTCCCTCCCTACCAGTGGGCTCAGGAATTCAGGCCTCCAGCTTCAGAACCACCAGCTTGCCTCTCTCTCCTCCTATCCTCTGTCCGTTGAGCAACCTGAAATGTGAATCCCTGGCCCCAGTTCATCAGAGGTGTGTCAGTCTTTCCATCTGTGAAATGGGGCTAAGGAGCCCATGGAACACAGAGGGAAGTGGTGGTTTAGTCGCTAAGTCATGTCTGACTCCTGCTATCCCACAGACTGTAGCCCGCTAGGCTCCACTGTCCACAGGATTTCCCAGGCAAGAATACTGGAGTGGGTTGCCATTTCCTTCTCCAGGGGATCTCCTGAACCCAGGAAATAAACCCAGGTCTCCTGCATTAGAGGCAGATTCTTTACCCGACTGAGCTATGAGGAAATCCAAAGTCTTTATTGAATTTGTGACAATATTGCTACTGTTTTATATTTTGGATTTGGGGCATGTGGGAATCTTAGATCCCCAACCAGGGATAGCAAACCACTGACGCTTATGTGATCTTCCAATCATTCCAGAAGCTTTCAGAATGAGAATGGCAACAAGAAACAGGCATGCTGGATGGGTAGCTGGGTAACCCGTGTGTATTCTTCCGCAAAGTGGGTCCAGAAATCTGCATGGGGGTCAAATGAGAACAGCTCTGCCTTGGAGTGCGCAGGCCCAGTCGGGCCAGACTTCCCCAGCTCTTCTGGGAAACCGTCCCGGGAGCAAACACGAAATAAACACTTGGGGTCCAAACACCCTACAGTTCTGGGCGAGTGACTCTCCTCTCTAGCCGCCGGCTCCCACGCCAGGCCCAAGTGCAAACAAGCAGCAGGGGTGGCCGGGGCCTCTCTCAGGGCTAGTGGAGGGCTGGAGCCCGGCAGATGTCCCCTCTCTGGACTCGCTGACTCACTTGCCTCCCTGGTTGAGAAAGGGATCCAGCCGGGCCTGAGCCATCCTGGCTGATGGACGATGAGGCATGGGGCAGAGGTCGGCGTAAACACTTGTGGTCAAGGAAGGGGGTCGAGAGGAGGGGTAAGGATGGGAAGGCAGGCAGAATATTCCCCTTAGGCAGAAAGAAGAGTTCTCGAAGGCCTGAGGGCCAGAGGAGCTTCCTGAAGAGACAGGGGCGGGTCTGGGCCCTGAGGTTCGAGTGAGGCCCCGAGGATCCTCTGAAGGCTGGAGAACTCCAGCCAGCATCAGGAGGATCCCAGGCAGGACGCCAGCTCAGGTTCTTCAGCAAAGGGCCCTTTTGGAGAGATGGGCAAACTTCCCCTGCAAAGGACCACGGGGAAAATAGTTTAGATTTTACAGGCCACATGGCCCTGGATCCTAGTACTCAGCTCTGCCCCTCTGCCCCTCTGCCCGTCCACTCTGTGCTGTGAAAGCAGCCACAGACAGTTCGCAAAGGCTTCCCAGTTGGTGCCAGTGCTAAAGAACCCGCCTACCAAGGCAGAAGACAGAAGAGACGCTGGTTCGACCCCTGGGTTGGGAAGACCCCTGGAGGAGGGCATGGCAACCCCTCCAGTGTTCCTGCCTGGAGGGTCTCACGGACAGAGGAGCCTGGCGGGGTACAGTCCATGGGGTCACAATGAGTCGGACACGACTGAAGCAACTTTAGCATGTAGCTGTGCCAATAAAGCTTTAGTTTTAAAACATTTAATCATTTATTTATCTTTGGCTAAACCTCGTGGCATGAGGGGCTTCCCCGGTGACTCAGATAGTGAAGAATCTGCCTGCAATGCTGGAGACTCAGGTTCTATCCCTGGGTTGGGAAGGTCCCCTGGAGAAGGGAATGGCAACCCACTTCAGTATTCTTGTCTGGAGAATCCCCACAGAGAGAGGAGCCTGGTGGGCTGCAGTCCATGGGGTCGCAAAGAGTCGACATGACTGAGCAACTGACACGTTTATTCCATGAACCATCTTTTTTTTAGTTGCAGCATGGGAGACCTAGTTCCTTGACCAGGGATAACGCAGGTCCCCCACACTGGGAGCATGGAGTCCCAACTACTGGACCACCAAGGAAGTCCCAGTAAAACTTTACAAAGACAAGCTGTGGGCCAACCTTTTGGAGCCCATGGTTTTGGGGCCTGTGGGTGGGGCTTGTGGATCGGAGGCCTCTGACCCGCTCACACGTACTTGACCCTCGGGAGGTGCCCCGCCAGCTGGCTGGCTTATTCTTTGCTTTCCTCTTCTTCCTCCCTTCCCATCTAGTCACTCACTCCTCTGTCTATTTGACCACTGATTTCATTGTTTCAGTGAATCTCTGATTCATGTTCTAGGTCACTGACTTATTTGCTCACTAACCGGGTCACATAAGAATGCATCCAGTCACTTTTTCACTGATTTATCTACTCTTCTATTGGAAATTCAGGGTTCTAAGAATTCTAACATGGACATGCTACACGAATGGAGA